AAAATTTGGTAGGCTTACAGTGATGGAGGGTGATGAAGTGCACAAAGAGATTAGGAAAAAAAATGCTTCTTTTATTCTTTTGCTGCCGTTGCAAATGCCCTACAGTGATAAAGCTGTGTTTCTGACAGTTGCATTCAGCAGACAGAAAGGAGGAAGGGACAGGCACACCCAGTGAATGATAAAGATAAGACAAATAAACTTTCAGTAGTCTCCTTAAGTACTAATTTAAACACATGATGTGTCATGTGGGGATTCAACAAGATTTTCTGAGAAGTATGTGGAAAATGAGCAACCAACACAAGGCAGAGAGACTTTTGATTTGCTGTGTTGCAGTAAGAGAGCTGAGTTTGTGAAATGCACCCTAAAAAAATAAATTAATGATTTTATGTTGTCATTAAAACATGCTATTGGAGTAGTCCATCCTCCCAGGGCTGTCACAGTCCCCATGAAATGTTGATCAGGTTTATTTGAAAAGAGGTGAAAACCTTCAAGGCTATAGAGAACCGCTTCTTGGGGCAGTTTTTTTTCCTAGCAATATGATCCATAAAATCATTAGGTAACTTAGAGAGCTCCACAGAAATGTTTTTTTGTTCCCCTTGCCTCCTAGCAGGACTTCTTACAAACTAAGAAGAGATAAAGGAAGAAGAATGAAAACTGTGGGATGAAGACATTTGCTGATAGTCATGACTGCATGACCACACACTGAAGTTGTGTAATAAGTGTGCAGTCTGTTCCTAGCAGAGTCAGTGAGGTGGAAACTCCCACGGAAAACACGGGATGAGGAGCCCATGCCACTCCTGCTTTTGTGGAGGAATCAGAGAGGATGGAGACTGGCTGGTGATCCACGAAGACCACCAAAGAAGGGAGTTTCCTCCTCACTTGAATAAGCAGGGGCTTTGCAAAGTCATGTAGGAAAAGCAGATCTCGACATCAATTTTAAAAGCTGAAAAACAATTATAAAATCATTCCATACTTTTTTTTTTTTTTTTTTTTTTTTTAAGAGTAATTTATGTAAGGGGGCTCCTTTAGGACTAATTTCTTTGTGGGGCCAATAATGCTTTGCAACAGATTGTTGTGGTGGAGTGGACCCTGCTCCAGGGCAGACTGGTGACAGTCTGACTACAGGGAACAGTGACACTCAGCCCAAGAAGGGCTCCTTGGCTGCTTCATGCTTGTTTTCATTATTTCCAAGTGAATGCAGAAGCATTATTCAAAGTTGCTTGTTTTCATTACAGCTTCCTTCTGACAGGTGTGACAGGCAGCATGACAGGTTGCTCTGGGCCCTTCATCATGCTGAGCTCTCCAGGCAAAGCTGCTTTCTGTGATTCCCTAAAGGAGACAGCTGCCAGGCTCCTTGTGGCCACCTGTGCTCAGGGATGGGCAGGCAGCATGTCAGGGGAGCCCTTCCTATGGAGAGCACACACAGCTTTTCTCTTTTGGTGCTGACAGGGAGCCACAGAAGCTGCTTCTTGGGGAGCAATGGCAGGGGAAACCCCAGCTTCCCCAGTCAAAACCCAGCAGGACAGCATAGAAGTTCCCCCAGGCTTTCCATCAGGCCCACAGACCAGGGTGTTGTACAAAGACCATATTGCATTTCTAGTCTTTAGCTGGCAGTCCTTTACAAAGCTGCAGGGAAATACTGAAGGTTGTTAAAACATGAATAGTGTTTCAGATCTGTTTGATGTTTTGTCCAAACTGATATTCCCTACTGCCTGCTTCAGCCACATGCCTAACCTGGATCATACCTAGGCTTTTCAGAGGCATTAAGTAGGTTAAATCTTAAAATCTTGCTTAAAATTGCTGACAAGTTGAGTGCTCAGTTCCCTTAGGATTTTTGAGCAGGTGGAATGTATATATCCCAGCCAATGGAAAGGACACCAGATTCCCATTCCCAGCTTGTTTAAGGACTGCTAGTGTGAACAACCTTGGATAAAGTGCACTTGAGAACCTAATTCTGCTTGCCATTCAATCTTGCCCTAAATAATACATGAAGCTCCAGACATAAAACCAGCCATTCTTCTGTTCTAACAGTTTGCTGTCAACACAAGACAATAAAATATGAATATTTTAGATTCATAATGCAGACAAATAGGAAATAGGAGCTGTACTGCGCTTCACATGCGTGGCTAACTCAGTAATGCTAATGTGATTATCTCACTGAACTTTTGTGCTGTCGCTTAAGGGTAACTTTGCCTTGCCTAGCTGGGGTATACATATTTGTTTCACACGGGCCTAACATCTTTTTTAAGTTTGTAGAAATAAGGAAACCTGATTTCTCTCTCATCTGTTACAAGGTAGCATCCTTTCTTGGCATTGAAGTATTGGGCACAAAAATCATAAAATGAGAAGAGCTTTTGGTTCTTGGAGAAGTAAGGATGGTGGTTAGCAGAACTGCCATCCTGAACTTCCAGGTGGCAGATTTCTTGCTGTTCAAGAGATCAATTCACAGAGTCCCGTGAAAAGCAGTGTCAAGGAGCTCAGGAACAGCAAAGTAGTTCAGGAAGGCTGGAGATCCTTCAAGAAAGAAATCTTCTAGGTGCAGGAGCAGGCTGTCTCCAGGTGCTAAAAGCTGGCTGGAATGCAGGAAAGAAAAAAAAAAAAAAAAAGAGTTCATGACCTTTTGAAGAAGGGACAGGCAATTCAGGAGGACCAGTGATATCATGAGGTTAGCAGAGTCAAAATTAGAAAAACATTAGAAATAGGAAATGCCTAACTGAAACTTAATTTGGCTACTACAGTCAAGAGCAATAAAAGATGTTTCTACAAGTACAAAAGGAGAGCTAAGGAGAATCTTCATCCTTCACTCGATGTATGGGGAAACACAATGACAAAAGATGAGGAAAAGGCTGAGGTTCTTAATGTCTGCTTTGCCTCAGTCTTTAATAGTAAGACCAGCTGTTCTGTGGGTACCCAGACCCCTGAGCTGAAAGACAGGGATGGGGAAATGGTCAGTGATGTGCTACACTACTTAGGCAGACACAAGTCTATGCAGTCACAGGGGATCCAGAAAAGGATAGTGCAGGAGCTGGCAGAAGTTCTCCCTGAGCCCCTTTCAATCATTTACCAGCAGTCCCTTATAACCCAGGAGTTCCCAGGTGACTGGAAGTTACAAATTGTACACCCATCTACAGGAAGGGCTGGAAGGAGAGGGGGGAACTGCAAAAGGAGAAGATCCCTGCTCAGCCAAGTCATCCTTCTGCCCTGCTTACCATTGCCTACTGTGATTTTAGGAGATGGCTCTTCAAAGGGAACTAACACTCCTGGAGCACAGGACCTACAAAAACAGGTTCCCAGTGGACTTTCTGGACTTGCTACTTCAGCAGCCCAGAATCTGTTCTCCCCACATGCATGGTCAAGGTTTTGCAGAAAATTGTATGGACATTTGACAGAGGTGTTCCACAGACTAAGAGAATGATGGCTGTCTGTATGTCTGTCAGAGAAATGGGGAAAGTGATAAAGTGTGGGGAATGAGAGACTTGGCATGGCATAAATGCTATGGGTTAAAAAGTGGATATTGTTCTGGTTTCAGCATACAGCATACAGTTAATTTCTTGTCAGTAGCTGCTCCACTGCTGTGTTTTGGATTCAGTATGACAATGATTCTGGTAACACACTGATCATCTGGTCAGTGCTAAGAGTCCAGTTTATCCTAAATCAAGGACTTTCTTGTGTCCTGTGCTCTGCCAGTGAGGAGATACAAAAACCACAAATCGAAAAAACTGGGAGGGAGGAGCACAGTTAGGACAGGTGGCCCAAACTGGGCAGAGGGATATCCCATAGGCCGTGATGGCCAGTATATAAAATGTGGGAGTTACCTGGAAGGGGAGCTGATTTGTGTTTGGGAAAGGGTCTGGCATCAGTCAGTGCATGGTGATCAACTTTATTGTGCATTACTTATTTTTATTTTTTGTTTTACTCTTCATTCTTATAAATTCTTCTAATTTATTTTCTTTCAATTTTTAACCTATTCTTATCTAAACTTACCGGTTTGCACTTAGATTTCCTCCTCAGATTCAACTTCAGTGAGAAATTTAAGTGGTTTAGGAGTGGGGGGATGGGAGTGGAGAGTGTGGGGTTGGGGATGGGAGTGTGGGGTCTGGGAGTGACCGGCTTCAAGGTGCTCAGTTGGCAGCTGGACAGTACCTCATAGCTTCTTTTTCTGAGCTGCCAGCAGAACACCACAAGCAGCATCAAGATTCCAGCAGTGGCCCAGAAATGCCATTGTAGCAAGGCTACCCAGAGCACAGGTCCCCATGATCCACCAGTCTGCTCCACAGCCTTGTGTTCCAGCTCCTGCAGCATCCAAGTCATCTGCCGGTTGAGGAACTCAGAACGGTGCTGCATGCGTTGGCGTGTGTCCTCATCCAGCTCATCATTGACCACCTTTGCGTTCTGGAGGATGGTTTTCACCAGCGTGACCAGGAATGTTAGGACAGATATAACCTTCATGAGGACAGAGAGAAGGGTTTGACAGCTCTGCCTTTGTGTTCCATCTCTCATCCAGGGCAGTCTCTTGTCTGTGTACACCCTCCCTCTGTCTCAAGTTGGACTTGGACAGCACCGCCTGCTGCTCTCATTTATACCTGTCATTGTGATGTCCCTTGTGATGTCATTGGCACCAGAAACATCATGGCCAGGCCAGCCCTGCCCTTCATGCCCACCCCAGTTCACACCCTTACAATGGCCCAAAGAAACCAAAGTCCTGACACCCACCAGATGCAGACCCCCCGCTCTGGATGCAGGGCTCCAGGTGGGACCTCCTGAGGGCAGAAGCATCTCCCTCAGCCTACTGCTCATGTTTCTTTTGGAGCAGCCCAGGATTTCACTGACTTTCTGTGTGCACACTATTGGCTCATGGGCAGCTTTACATCCACAAGAACCCCCAAGGCCTTCTCTGTACCCCACACCAAGGGGTGTCACAAAGGCCCCCAGAGCACCCCCATAAGCGCAGAGATCAGTGCCAAGAGAGAAAAACATCCAGGAATTTGCATCATCCAATTTTATGTTCACCAGTGTTTCAGGGGAGCTTTGTCCTGCTTTGTGAAGGAAGCCTCTGGGGACCATTCAAGAGTGGTGGGCCTACATTTGGTGGGTGTTGGGACTTCAGTTTCTTGGGGCCATTGTGAGGGTCTGAGCTGGGGTGGCCATGAAGGGCAGGGCTGGCCTGGCTGTGATGTCTCTGGTGCCAGTGACATCCCAGGGATGCCACAACAAGGGGTGTGTAGGCAGTGTTGCCACAGCACCAGGCCAGGCTGGCCTGGCTGTGATGTCTCTGGTACAAGTGACATCACAAGGGAGCAGGTATAAATGCAGCAGCAAGTAGCACTGCCCCAGGCCAGCTCGGATGAGCACCATGTGGACATACATGACCAGATGCTGCACTGGATGAGGGTGAGACCACAAACACAGCCACCCAAAAGAGTGCTTCCCAGCCTGCATCCAGGGCCTAGCCCCTTCCAGGCACACCTTGCAAAGGGCCCTGTGCTACCACTGGGACTGGGTGCAGGCTTTGCTGCCTGCCAGCTGCTTAGCCCCTTCTCCTTCCTGCCCACTGTTTCCCACCCCTTCTTCCAGCTGCCTTAATTTCTCTATTCTTCCTTCCCTCCCTTCTCAACACCACTGCACTCCTTTCCCTTCTCTCACAGGCTATAATGGTCATACTACTCCTCTTCTGGCTTGTGCAATGGATCTGCTATTATATCAAAGTGTACCTGGATAAGGATCTCAGCCAGAGGACTGGGACGCTGAAGGAGTTTGTCTGCAGGACTGTGGAGCAGTGTGTCAGGTCCTGGAGAGCCATGCTCTGGGCTGCCTTGCAGCAATGGCTGTTCTGGGCCATTGCTGGAACCCTGGTGTTGCTCTTGGCACACTGCTGGAGGCTCAGGAAAAGGATCTCTGTGGTGGACAACAGGAGGGACTCAGAGAGAGAAGAAAGCGAGGAAGAACTTCCTACTGAGAAGAATATGATCTGGATCATTTCAAGACACTACCAGTTGTCAGTGCCAAAGCTGGCCTCCGGGAGACGGGTGGTAGAGGAGCTGCTGAGTGACCTTCTCCAAGTCTCCCATAGTCTCTTTTCAGACAGCTTCTTCCCAGTGCTGCAACCAGCCATTGGGGTGGGCAGTGCTTTTGAAGGATGGAGTCACCATAAGGAGAAGGATGTTGTCTACTGCATGTTTGTGCCCCTGAAGCCACCCCATGGGCATGCCTTCCTCCTGGAGCCAGACACCATGGGGGAGATGTCACAGAGAAGCATGCGCATCCGCGTGGAGCTGGTGTGCACCTGCACCAGAAAACAGCCTGACAGGAACATGCTGTGCTTCCTCCACCATTCTGAGGAGGAGCTGAAGAGAAATCAGATGGCCAGCCTTCTACATACCCTCTGTACTGGCCCTTACCTAGATGGGGAGAAAATTGCCCTCTGGTTCCAGACAGTTGTGATCTCGGCCTGGTCAATGTTGCCTCAGTCCTGTCACTACAGCATGAAGGTGCTTCCCTCCTGCCGCTCCTGCAAGGTGAAGCTGATGAAAGCCTCTGGGAGAAGCTTTATTGTGGAGATAGTATTTAGTGTGCAGCAAGGTGACTCGGATATCTTCCTGAGTAGCCAGCCTACAGAGGCCCAGTTCCCTCCAAGCACGACATGGCTGGAGAGCTATGCTGTGGCAGAGGCAAAGTTCTTCAGGCAGGTCGCCATGCAGGCCCCACCCCACAGCTGCCATCTCAAATGCCTGCGGCTCTGTGCTCGCATTCTGGAGGATTCAGGCCTTTCTATCTATGCCTTGAAAACCTCAGTCATGCACCTCCTGACCTTGATCCCTCTGTCAGAATGGCAGCACAAGTATTTCCTGATGCGGGTGGATGACACCTTGAACTACCTGCGCTGTTGCCTAGAGGAGGCACGCCTCAAGCATTTCTTCTTTGGCAACGAGGATATGCCTGAGGAGATCTCCTTGCCCCCAGCTTTCCAAGAGGCACAGCCTCTAAACCTCTTCCAGCACCTGGCACAAAATCCAGCTGCCCAGACTGAGGCATTGAATAAGTTTTATAAGTTTGAATGTGACCTCTTCTTTGGGTTTTGAATGAGACAACTGTAGAATCACAGAATCATAGAATTGTAGAACTGTAGAAGAGTAGAATCATTAGATCTCTAGGAAAATACTTCCATATAATTCTAACCGTATTTTGACTTCCTGGGACCTTCGGTTGATGCAAAGTTTACAACAAATGGTGTGTTTGAACAAACACTGCATCTCTGAGCATCTGTCCATCAGCTTGAAATGGAATGCGACTGCTCAGGTACCTCAAAGTTGGAGATTATTTGGTAGAAGACCTGAAGTGATGGGCCCTGGTTTCTCTGATTCCCTGCCACTGTCACTTCTCCTGCACTGGGGAAATAAGAAAAACTGGTCACCCTCCACAGCTCTGCTCACTGCCAAGTGGCATTTCAACGTTGCTGCCCTCCAGCTGCTTCTGCAAATGCCACTTTTGAGAGAGCTCATTCCTCCTGTGAGCTTTACTGGGTACAAAAATGGCAATAAATGATATATTGGAGCAAACACAATGTGTGAATCTCCCTGCATCACTTTGTCAAGGAGCACTGGTATAGGGTACTGGCTGCTCAGCTGCTGCAGGGTCACAGAGAGTTAGGCAGAAGAGCTGCCAGGTGGGCTGGGTATAGCACTTGAGGACAGAGTGGGCTGTCTGGTTGCAGGATTCCCTGTTGTTTTGGGTTAATCCCGGTAGGCAGTTTGGCATCAAACAACAATTTAACAATTTAAGACTTGAAAGCAAGTAAATTAGAAGAATTTCTAAGAATGAAGAGCAAAAAACAAGAACAAGTGATGCACAATTCAGTTGATTAGCACATGCTGACCAATGCCAGACCCTTTCCTGAACATTGGTCGGCTCCTCTTCCAGGTAACTCCCCCATTTTATATACTGGCCATCACGGCCTATGGGATATCCCTTTGCCCAGTTTGGGCCACCTGTCCTAACTGTGCTCCTCCCTCACAGCTTTTTCGATTTGTGGTTTTTGTATCTCCTCACTGGCAGAGCACAGGCACAAGAAAATCCTTGATTTTGGATAAACTGGACTCTTGGCACCAACCAGATCATCAGTGTGTTACCAACATCATTGTCATACTGAATCCAAAACACAGCAGTGGAGCAGCTACTGACAAGAAATTAACTGTATGCTGTATGCTGAAACCAGAACAATATCCACTTTTTAACCCATAGCATTTATGTCATGCCAAGTCTCCCAGTTCCCCACACAATGATGGAATGGCCCCAGAGACTCCCTTCACAAAGCAGGACAAATCTCCCCTGAACCACTGGTGAACATAAAATTGGATGATGTGAATTCCTGGATGTTTTTCTCTCTTGGCGCTGATCTCTGCGCTTATGGGGGTGCTCTGGGGGCCTTTGTGACACCCCTTGGTGTGGGGTACAGAGAAGGCCATGGGGGTTCTTGTGGATGAAAAGCTGCCCATGAGCCAATAGTGTGCACTCACAAGCCAGAGAGCCAGTGAGATCCTGGGCTGCCTCAGAAGAAACACGAGCAGTAGGCTGAGGGAGATGCTTCAGCCCTCAGGAGGCCCTGCCTGGAGCCCTGCATCCTGGCCTGGGTTTCTCAGCACAAGAGAGATGTGGAGCTGTTGTGGCAGGCCAGAGGAGGCCATAGAGATGATCAGAGGGCTGGAGCACCTGTTCTGTCAACACAGGCTGAGAGAGCAGAGGCTCTTCTTCCTGGAGAAGGCTTCAGGGAAACCTCATTGCAGCCTTCCAGTACTTGAAAGGAAGCTTATAAAAAAACAAGAGAAAGAGACTTTTTATATGGTCAGAATAGTGATAGAACAAGGCTGAACAGTTTTGTACTAAAAGAGGAAATTTAGATTGCATGTTTGCTATAATTTCTATGTCCCCTGCTTCCCTGTCACCGCTATCTGCCCAGCAGCAGCCAGGAAGACAGGAGAGATAGTTTAGCTTAGCAAAAAAGAACATAAAAACAAGGTCCTTTCCCTTAACTGAGATGGCAGTTGCAGCTTTATTTTCTTGGGATCCTACGGAGTGAGGAGCAGGAGGGAAAGAGGAAGAGGTAAGCACCCCTTTTTGAAGGCAGGGGGAAGAGGGTGGGTTACACTTACACAACCAATAAGGAGAACTGGGGAGAAAGAGATAAGGGAAAGAAACTTACAATTCTACATTTTTGGGAGTACATACTTTGAGTCATACCATTTTTCCTAACTGCATTACAACACATGTTAGGAAGAAGCTTTTTACTGTGATGCTGCTGAGGCCCTGGCACAGGTTTTCCAGAGCAGCTGTGGCTGCCCCATCCCTGGGAATGCTCAAGGCCAGGCTGGATGGCGCTCTGAGCAAGATCTCAAGGTGATCTGGTGGAAGGTGTCCCTGCCCATGGCAGGGCGCTTGGAGCTCTAGATGAGCTTTAAGATCTCTTCCTACCCCAACCATTCCAGGAGTCTGTGATCTTGGGTGGTGTCTTTGGACACTGGCCTGAAGCAGGAGGAGGAGGGGAGCTTGTTGCTGTGGGGATCAGCATCATGGGGCAGCTGGTGTGGAGGTACCAAGGGCTGCCTGTGCACAGCTGTGCATAGCCAAGCTGGGGAAGGCTCTGGAACACAAATCTGAGGGAGCTGAGGGTGTGTAGCCTGGAGAAAAGGAGGCTCAGGGGGGAACCTCATTGCTGTTGACAACTCTCTGAAAGGTGGTAGCAAGGAAAGGGTGGGCCCTTTCTCCCAAGTAACAAGTTACAGGACAAGAGGAAATGGCCTCAAATTGCATGGGGGGTGACTTAGGTGAGATATTTGGGAAAGGTTTCTTCCCAGAAAGGGCTGTCAAGCATAGGAACAGGCATCTCAGGGATGTGGTGGAGTCACCATCCCTGGAAATGTATAAGAACGCTTCAAGTGCCTGGATGTAGCACTTGAGGACATTGGTGACCAAGGTTATGGCACTGTGCTAGTGGTTGGACTTGGTGATCTTAAAGGTCTTTTCCAACCTTAACAACTCCATGATTTAGGTACTGTTCTTGTCAAAGGAACCATCACTATATATTAAAATACATTCACACACACATACTGTATGTGATAATCTCTGACTGCTCAACATACTTACAGCATTTCCTCTTGCTTGGGGCAAAGCAGTTTGCAGGGAAGTTACTTTTCCCCTATGCATCTTCCTGCACCAGGTAGGCACTGGAGCAATCAGAATGTTTTTGCCATGAGATCTGATGTCCTCTCTCAATGAGATGGTACGCTGATGCTGTCTTCCATTTCCAGAGCCCTCTGCACACCATTGTTAAAACAATTACACAGATCTTTTTTCCTTCCTTCTGAGGAACTGCATAGAGGTCTCAAACTATGTTCCAGCTGGGAACGTGCTATTAGTCATCACATGAGATAAAAGACTGCTTCCCATATGTCTTCTGATGCTTGCCTCATTTACAGGTGTTTTTGCCTTGGATACCCATGCAACACTGAAAATAACTGAACTATTCCATGCTTTGAAATCCTTCACCAGATCTTGCTGCCTGTGAAACAAAGGAAATATGCAGCTTTTTATTAAAATGAATGAATAACAACTGAATAATGATTATCTGTGATTAAAATCCCCAGTATCACAGCCCCATCTAATGGACTGGCTGAAAGATATTCAAAGGACCTACAAAAAGTCTATCTGTTCTCTAGCAAAATACGTTATCATGATAAACAGGACCCTGTGGCATATTAAACTCTTAATTATGGCACAGGAGGCATTTTCTCTGAAAATTAAAAAGGTTGCAAAATGGCTACAGCCTCTGGAAGGCAATTCTTAGCAGCAAAATGTAACTCAGTGTTAGTGACTCCTTTATCTACTTCCGTCAGTATTCTCTTGGCACAGATTAACGTGGAGAGGGGAGTCTCCATATTTCTTAGTCATGTTATCATTATGCCAAAGACTCTGGAATGCCATAAGCCTACAGAGCAGCACAGGCCCAAGGGAAAACACAAGGAAATCACTTAGAGAAGAGAGATATAAGTTAAGCCAGGCTTCATTTGTTATTGTATATTTGAGACTTTTTTTTTTTTTTAATAAAAAAATGGCAGATGGTGTGTGGCTTCCAGAGAAGTGGCTTGGCCTATACAGTGTCAGTCTTGGGGAAGACCAGCCCTGTGGTCTTCCACAGACAGGCTGCCTGTGCTACATGCTGTGGGATATATCTCTGTAAACCTCCCTGATCCTAAGGTTGGTTAGGCTTTTATGTCTCATAACCAAAACCTAGTGGATCAAACCAAATAGTCATCAAATAGGTACTAGCAGCAGGATGCTGGAAGTAGTGGTGTCATGAGTTTTACATCCTAATCCAGAGCTCCTGAAGGGAAGCAGGAGGAACCTTTTAGTTTCAGTGGGTGATGGATGGAGTAGCTACTAGTTTCTAAGAATCTGCAAAGGTGGTTTAGGTACCAGTAATTTCTATGATACTAGGTCACTAGGAATTTCTAGTGCTTCTTCCTTGGAGCTGCTCTTACCTTCTCCAGCAGTGAGAACTGGAAAACTACTTCTTCCCAGATGACTCAGAGTTCTGAGCCCACATCACACTCGGGAGTGCTAATTAGGCACCTTACTCCAGGAAAGGGGAAGAATTAGGCAGCAGAGGTGTTCTTATCCTGAGAGCCCACTCTTTTTTCTCTTCTGAAGGTTTCCCCTCACTTTGCTCAGCTTGTTATGAAAAAAGTTCAAGCAAGATCTTTTAACATTTCCTGTGTTCCTGACATTGCCCAGCCACAAACAAGGACTTTTTACTCCAAATCCATAAATCACTGCTGTATTTCACAGGAGTTCTGAGTTGGGTATCTGACTGCAATATTTATCACATACTGTTACCTTAGGGCCTAGTATGAGCTTTGGTAAGTGGACTTTGCAGGGCCCATAAAACCTGGTCAAGGAATAACTAAAACAGGAACATCTGCTCATCTTAACTTAAGAGACTCTCAAATCAATCCTTAAGCTAAGTTCATTTTGGGGAAGAGATCACTTCAGATGGGGGAAATGTGATTTTCTGTGCTGACTGTGGGTGCCCGTGGGGCTGGAATAATGGTGCAAGCATCAATCTTCTGGATGCAGAACTATTTCAGCAGCCACAGAAGCTCCCCCACTCTGACCAAGTGCCAAATTCCCATTTGAATCAGTCTCCTTGCCGGACCTGTACACAAGGAAACATGTCAGGGCTCATTTGGGAAATGTTTCTGCTTGGGGTAACAGCTTTGCCAGGAGACTGACTCTTCTGCTTTGGATTGATTCATCCCCAAGAGACAGTGGGGTCCAAGAATGCTGTTCCAGTGTTTGGGCACTGCAGTGAGCTGTACAGTCACAGGAACAGGGACTGCAGGTACAGATGGCTGTGCCCACTGGTGGCTGAGCTTTGTGTCACCCCATCCAGAGCCACCACAAAACCGGAGCAGAAAAGACAGATGGATGACACCGTCTCTGCAAGTGACCAGCACTGTTTCTCCTAAATTCCACATCTAGAACAACAGACTCAGCTAACTGTAAGGTCAT